GCAGCTCTCCCCTGCACTAATCCACTGCTCACATCCTCTCTGCCTGCAGCTGTGCTCCAAGAGATCCACGCTCTCAGGGAGCAGTTTGACATCTCAGCACGGTGGGCTGGGGCAAACCTTTGGGGAGCTGCTCCCTTCCCTGTGCTCCATCCGTCAGTGCATCAGAGGGAACACATCTTCCTTTTGAATTGTAATGCATTACATAGGGGTTTTTATGTAAAATCCCGATATTTTTCATACTTAAAACATCTGTCTGAGTTACAGCAGTGGTGACTGCAGGGATTGGTTCATCAGTATCTAACAGTTTTTCAGTTTGCAGAATGCTCTATAATGATTCTCTTTAATTATATCATTATTTTGTAAGCAACAGTGCACAGAATTCTAAGAGTCATCACACTCAAATTAATTTTTACCAAAGCCTTATTTATCAATTTATTCCCTACAACTTGTTTCTTTTTTTCCCCAGCAGCTGGGATTTGCACCAGAATTTACTTCTTAAGGAAAGAGTTTACGTTTTAAGTGCTGGGTCTGTTACTACAAGAATGCAGAGCTGAAAGTTCCCAGTTATCCCCAGAAGGGTTAATCCCAGGCAGCTGCAGGAGCCCTGATCTAACAGAACTCCAGCCCCAGCACCTCACACTGTGCACCGTTCTTTCTTGCAGCCAGTTCTGTTGTTAATGGGATGTGAGCCCACTCCTGGGGCAGTGAGACACTGATGGATGAGCTGGAGCCAACACTGAGACAGAAAAAACAGCGTGGACACGCACAAAGGAGAAGTTGGTGCCTGTGAAACCAGCAGTGGGATCCTTCCCTTCTCTGGAATAACAGCAGCCTTGTGGATACAGCCTGAACTGGACTGGTGGCTGACCAGAGCTCAGAGGAACATCAGGGATGGCAGGGAACATGCAGGTGAGAGAACTGCGGGGCGAGGGCAAGGAAACAGGGCTTGTAATCATGTTATGCTATTGCTTCCTTACCCCTTTGGCCTCCTAGGGAAACAGCACAGCAAAATAAAGTTATTATAGTGCTCTAGCCATTATAATATTAGGGTTTTGCCAGTTGGTAGGGTAATTATACTGCTATAATAAGTTCTGCCACTGCATAGAGCTGTGCTGGTTCAGAGTGTAATTATTCTAGCAGAACTATGTCAGTATAACTCCCCTTGTGAATACTACTCTGGAAAAAGCAATTTTATTCTGATATAATTACTTCATTTATGATTCCTCTGTTACTTTCCTACTGAACCCATCTTTTAAACATTTGTCCTTCCCATGAGCCCTATTTAAAATATCATCTCCCTTGATCATTTTACCAATTATGTATCTTTTCTCTCCCTCCCTAGTACTCTGCTTTATTCTCTCATGCTGTACCATTTCAGTAATATTTTCTCCTTTTCCCTCTGCTCTCTGCTGCTCATTTTGCCACTTTTTGCTTATCTCAGACTTCACTTTGGCAGCCCTTGGCATCTGGTGCCTTTCCTAAATCAGCTGTGGGTAGAGCTGTAGTAACAGCCCCGCATTCAGCAGCGAGTCAAGCTGTGGTGCCTTGGAACATAGAGGGCTGGAAGAGTTGTTTGCATCAGGTAGAGCCTAATTGCCCTTCTCCCCCCTCCCCTGGCTCCATCCTCGCCCAGCTGCTGCCCAGGGTGGGTTTTACTCACCCTGGTGCTCTGGATGGCCAGTCTCTCCTCTCCAGGCAATGCCGTGGCTCTCACACTCCACACCAGCAGCAGCACGGACACCAGGCTGGCCACCAGCTGCATGATGCACAGGCTGGGACTGGTGCTGAACGAGGAAGACTGGGAGAGGGAGCTGCTCCTGGGCTCTCTTCTGCCTCAGACAATGGCTGCAGCCCCTTTTATAGCCCTCCCCCAGCCCAGTGGGTGACGCAAACAATTAAGTCTATATCAAAGGCAAATTAGACTTTGGAGAGGTTGTTAACACTTGGCTGCTTGAGTGGGATACTTCAGTGCCTCTGGGCTCTCCATGTGCCAGACCTGCAGAGATGGAGGAAGCAAAGACTTGGGACACTCCAGTAACATGCTGTTTCTTCACTCCAAGAAATTGTAGGCACTCTCTGTGCCTCTTCCTAGTTAGCTGGATTCTGTTTGGGAAATAATACTGGGTGGAAGAGGCCACCAGCTTGCACAAACCTGGATGATTCAGAGGGAAGATGTAAAACTTCCGGCCAGCAGTACTTAGATGTGGGCTTGGACCCTCAGCTGGTGTGTCCAAGCAGCTCCAGACTTCCAGGGTGTTTGGATCTGGATCTCTGACATCCAGCAGTGCATCTCACCTTGGAATGCCAACACTCCTGGCTCTCCCTGTAGGGTAGCATGGGGACAGAGCTGCAGCTGTGCAGTTATGTCCTCTGTCTGGAGAATGCACATCAGACCACCTGGAACACAGCTGGGGGTTGTGGGGTCTTGTTGCTAGCGTTGCTTCAGTCCCTCTTGAACCTATCCCAGGAGCGTAGGTCAGCACAGGAGATGCTGGGTGTAAATGTATTAAAAACAAAATACTGAAAGGCTGGTCAGACCTGGAGCTGCTCTGCCCTGAGAGGCTTAAAAAGGCTCATGCTCTACTGGCACTGACCCCAGGCTGCTTGGAGTGTGTTCCTACCACTCCTGGTCAGCAGTCAATAGTGCTTCTTCCTTGCCCCAAGAGCTGTCCCGCCAGTGGGACTGGTCCCTGGGCCAGCAGAAAGTGCTGTTAAGCGTTGCCATCTGCATTGTCCCCATCACTGTCACACTGTGAGACGCTGAGCTGAGATCCCAGCTCACCAGCAGCCCTTTCTCCAGCAGCACTCGCCTCAGGGCAAGTCTTCCCCTGACCCGAACAACAAATGACAGTCAAAAGGTAAATTGTTATCCTAATTTAGCACATTAAAAAAAAACTCATGGGGAGGTGACTTGGCCAGGGGATGCTGTGGCAGAACTAAGAACAGAAGGCAGAAAAACCTGTTCCCCATTTCTCCCTCTTACCAGCATTACAGATCCTGGAAACAGCATGATGGAACTTTGCCTGCAGATAACCCAGCTCCCAGCGCCAGTTACACCAGCTCTGGGGGAAAAAGATGCCACCACTTCCATGCACACTGTAAAAGAAATGCTGCATTCCCTCACTGAGAGACAGAAAAACCCTTTTCTGACTCACAGAGCCTTGTGGGGTGAAAGAAACAATCTAGCAATTTCTGGAAATGGATTTTCTGTAGAGAACTTTGTAACCTCCTTGTTTCTCACCCTCCCCAAGCGAGAGGTGGCTTCCACGCACCACTTCCAGATGAAACATTATCTGTTTCCTTTGAACCTGATCTGGCTGCTTTATCAGAGTCCCCGTGTAATGGATTCTGTCAAACACTTCCCTGCAGCCCGGGGCTGAGGCAGAGCAGGGAAGCTCCAGCAGGCAGAGAAACCACAGGGACCTGCCAAATGACCCACGGCCGATCTGCTCCGGGAGAGGCAAACCCGGAGAGGAGCACACGGACAAAACACACTTGGCTGCTCAAGGGGAAGAAGGGAGGGCAGGTCCTGGGAGCGTGAGATGTGCTGGGGCTGACAGGTGAGTCCTGCACTGGGGCTGTGAGGCAGGACTCGCCCTCGTGGGCCCACTGGCCCCAAAGCCACGCAGACAGCAGGGGCAGTGCGGGCAGGTCTCCATGCTGGGGCCATCTGCTCTGCCCACGCTGCCTGTTCCAATAAACACAGCTCTGTCTGCAGCTTCCCTCTGCAAGGGGCTGCTGTCTAAAATGCTCCACTGATAGACTGGGGTCACAAGTGTGACAATGCTCCTACAAGAAAAGATCAGCTGCGGGGGAGGCCCACAGGGATGTGAATGGCGACCAGGCTGCCTGGAATCTGCCCTGGGACTAAAGGGCAGCAATAAAATAACTGTTACCTCCTGAGCAGGAGTGACTTCGGAGACAGCTCCTGCCCAGATACACCAGCACCAAACCTGAGGTCCTGCTGACAAGCACAGCCCAGCCAAACCTGTGTCTAGCCTGGGCAAGGCTGGGTGTCTGTTCCCAGCTGGCAGGGAGGGAACAGGGACACATCAAAGCACTTACACTCCAGTGCCCACAGTAGGACTGGATCTCTGAATCCAAGCTAGCTTCCTCTGGGCTCTGCTACAGCATCTCTCAGTAGCAGACACCTCTTTTCCAGGTTCCTCCATCTTCCCTAGTGCCCTTCCCTTTCCCCACATTCCCTCTGCTGCTTCCCCTAGTTAGTCTGTCCTCTGGCCCCTTTGCAGACCCTGCTGACCACCTCCTCCCCACAGGCTATAGCACCATCTCCTTCTCCTAAGGAAGCAAAATAACTCTTTGGTGGTAAAATTTGTTCTTTTTAGTAATTGGATAGAGTTCAACATACAGCACCAGGATTGTTTGTACTTCCTACTGTTCCTATCCCATGTGCATGGCTGTCTGACCTTTAAGAAGGCCCCAATTATTATTTTTTTTTTTTGCCAACCCTTAAATGCTTATCACCCTGTAGAGGAAAGGGTAAAGGACTTCCCTTGGAACAATAAACATTTCTGACAATTTTTTCCTCTCACCACTTTCTCCCTGTTATCTGACTCACCCCTTTGGAAGTCGTGTTCCTTGATGCTCGAGTGGGTCTGTGCCACTTCACAGTGAGAGGAGATCTGCCTGAAATCAGAATGCCTTTGAACACATCCCTGGGAGCCTGGTGGGGTGGGGATGCTCCAGAAGGAATTCCTGCATACAGTAACTTGAAAAGGCCTGGCTCTCCCAGGATTTTGTGCCACAGTTCGCGTGGCTCCAGCAGGGATGAACAGTGGGTCCAGGAGCACAGCAGAATATGTTTCCACAAGCACACGAGACAACCTCCATCTGCTTGTGATTAAGGCTGCACAAACAAAATGCACTGGGAGAGGTTTTATCATCCAAGAAAGAGGTCCCTGCCCTCTCCTCAGCGAGTCTGTGCAGCAGCAGGGACTGGGCACTGCTGGAACGCAGAATCTACGACTGTGTCTGGCCCCAAATGCCACACTAAGGAATGAGATTATTTCTCAGTTGCTCTCCTATATGGCCTGGGTATTTGCTGCCTTCTGCCCCTTTGCTGCCTGCTCTGGGCTCAGGTCACCATGCCTTGAAGCACGTAGCAGAACCACGTCAGGCTTCCTGAAAGGTTCCCAAAGGTGAGGCCCTCAGCTGCAGCTGAAGGAAGGGTTCCAGTACCTTCCTGTCATTGCAATCCTTGCTCTCTGCCCTCGAGAGTCTCTCCTTGCAAAGGCCAGTGCAATAAATAAAGCAATAGTCAGCTGACAGTCGTGAGCCTTCCTGGAAGGGGAAACCAATTTGCTCATGGGCCTGAAATCACAGCTCATTTCTCAGGCAGCATTCCCTGGCACTGTGCTCCCCAGGGCCCTGGAGGAGCGTGCAGGTGGCTGTTCCAGCCTCGGCTTTCCATTGGCACTCATCTACCAAACCCAGGGAAGAGGCTGTGGGAGTGTGGGCTGGAGCCTCGTCCCTGCTCAGAGCTCAGAGCAGGTGCAGGAGGAGGAGGGGAGGGCCCCAGGGATGCTGCTCTCACAGCACACACGACTGCAGGGCTGCTCCAGCTCTCTGGGGAGGGGGAGCTGTGCTGCATCCTCTGTCTGCCGACCCCAGAGGGACCCAGGAGGGTGAGGGGAGGGCGAGCAAAATGTCTCAGTGGTGCTCAAAGCCTTTTGTAGAAACTGAAAGAAGAGAAATTTAGGTTAGATATTTATTAGGAAGAAATTTTTTACTGTGAGGGTGGTGAGACACTGGAGCAGGCTGCCCAGGGAGGCTGTGGATGCCACAACCCTGGCAGTGTTCAAAGCCATGTTGGATAAGGCCTTGAGCAATCTGGTCTAGTGTGAGGTGCCCCTGCCCATGGCAGGGGGGATTGGGACTGGTTCATCCTTCAGATCCATTCCAACCCCTTAATATTCTATGGTTCCATGATTTAACTGCATGTGAAGTTAAGCATTCCAGTTATTCCACCAAAGTCTTCCTTAGAAAATAACTGATCTCTGTAAAACTCTATTTCAAAGTACCTGTTTCCCAGTGTAAATATGTTGTCTAGCTCCAGCCTGGAGTCATTTCAGGCTGGGGTTACTGCTACTGCCACGGACTGATCTCTGTTACACCAGCTGTGCCTCTGCTGGCAGGATTGAGAGCCCACCAGGGATGCTGACCCCCAGACCTGTGACACTGTCAGCACCACAGAAGGGACCACTGGGCTGGGAGAGCCTTGAGCAGGAATTGCAGACAGGCTGGGGTTCTGTTAACTGCTCTCCCACAGCTGAAGGGGGTGAAACACCCACAGGGTCATCACATCCCCCATCCTGCCTTAGCCCTGGCACACAGAAGTAGCTTTGTTAAGTAAATCCTTGCTGGACATGCCCAGCCCTTCAGTACCAAGGAGAGGGCAGCCCCTGCTGCAGGGCACCTGTGGGGTCCCTGTCCCAGCACCCTCAGCTCTTCAAGCCCCATTAGCCAGGAGCTGGTGCCCTTGAAAGGCCTGCACTGAGATGCCCAACATTTGCAATAACCCACCCATCTTTATTGCCTCACACCTCGCTGTGCTGCAGCTGTGACTCCCTGGCTGCAGTTCCCCAGCTTTTGCACATTTGAAAAGCACTTAACTCCATCCTAACATGACTAGGAAACAGCATCCCCTCAGACTTCTCAGTATTTAACTTGGTTAAATGCCTCACCTTATTTTTTAACAGCCTTTTGTCTGACTCTTTTGCTAGGCCCGAGCTGCTGCTTCATGTTGTCCACACTTTTCCCTCTTCTTGCCCCACTGTGTTATCAAGGGAACTTTCCTCTCCCCAAACTTGCTGGCACTTGTTAATACTTTTTTGACTGCCTGCTTACTGAGGCTGCTGTTCTGATGAAAGATGAATGTCATTCCTCTCTCAGCAGTCTCTTGCTCCAGCTCTCAGCCCCATCAATAATTCAGCCAGGCCTCGATAACATTAGCTCTGGGTGAACACCACACTCATGCCAATTAACTGACTGAAGCTCTTTCCTGAACTTCCAAAAATTGAGTTAGTTCAATGAGCAAAAGCAGAGCAGAGAGTCTGACACAGTTCAAGAGGTGCCAAGAGGCTCCAACAATGGATGTGCTGAAGCCCATCAGGCTCTGCTCCCTCGCTTGTCTCCACCTGCTCTCACTGACACAACACTGCACGTTCCTGGGACAGAGCCTATCCCTGTCCATGTGCTCCTGGCTCAGTGAGATGCTGGAACACGACTGCAGCATGTCTAGACAAACATCATCCCTGTGGCTCTTTGCTCATGAACAGCCTTGCCTGTGGAGAGCAGTGCCTTGGAATGGCTCGGAAACTGCGTACGGGACCCTGAGGATGGAGTGTGTGTGACTTGGATGGGAAACAGCCTTGTCTTCCTGCTCTCACCACTGGCTACTTGCTGAACCTACACATTTGGAGAGAGCTCAAAGAACCAGAAGGAATAATTAGCTGTGTGGAGGCCAGGTTTTGAGGAAGCTCTTTCCCTCCTGGGCATTGTTGTACTCACCAGGGGTGGGTGAAAGGCTTGAACTTGTTACTAGTTGGCTGCTGCTCTAAGGCCTTCCTGGACTACAGTCCTGGTCTTGATTCCTGTTCCAGGGGAAAGTGCCAGAGCTAGTTTTCCATCAGGGATGAGGGGCTGAAGGGGGTAAGGCCCACAGGGATTTAAACAGGAGGAGTTACAACCATTGCTGATCTGATCTTTATAAAAATACTAGCGCTGAGCAATGAAAATGCCTCGTTAGCCCAAAGGACTCGGTGGCTGTGAGAGAAAGGAGACAGTTACACAGACAATGGGAGAGACAAAACGGTGTAAAATTCCCAGCACAAGAACACAGAGGAGATCCAGACTCAGCTCTGCACTCAGCAGTGCTTTGCAAACCCTTAGGAGCTCCAAGATGCTGTACTGATACTGGGGGTAGAAGGGGGCCCTGGGAAAGAATTGACAAGTCTCATCAAAAAGGGGAGACAGCAGCAGGGCTGGTACTGACCCCACAAGTCCCTTGCTGTGGGCACACAGTGGCTGCACCACCAATGCTGTTTGTAGGGTCACAATTATGGTAAAGCTCAACCCCAACCTTTGCTGAAATCTGCTCCTTCCTTTTCTCTCTCAACAAGCCCCAAAGGCCTCTCTCAGAAGCAGCTTTTTGCCTTCTCCTGATGCCACCTAGTGCCTGTCCCCAGCCTGCTCAGCCAGAGCTCAGCCTTGGTTCGGCCGTCAGAGCCACGGCAGTTCCTGCAGAGGGAAGGAGGGAGCGGGGCCAGGGCTGACAGGAACTGCCTGATGGCAGCAGGGAGAGGGACAGCTGGAAAACAGCTTGGAAAACTGTACACAGGCTGCATTTGGACTGGAGCATAGCTCGGGTAACAGGTACTGACACTGCAGCTGGAGCTATTGGGCTACGACACAAAACAAGCAATGGGACCGCTCCTCAGAGCTTGCTTTGGGTGATCACTTGTCATCCCTAGAGATGAGGGAGAGGGGAAGGCAGAGCAACTGCAGAGAGCCCCTGGAAGCACAGCAGGCCCTCAGCATCTCTGTTTCTCTTTCCACTCTCCCCAGAGAACACCGACCCACACCGATATCACCTTGACCAGAGCCGAGTGTTTGAAGGAGTGCCAGGGGCACAGTGAGTGGGTTGGCAGGGGGTCCCACTGCACCGGGCACGGAGCCTTCAGAGCAGAAGTGAAGGAGTGGAGGCAGATCCACCTCACAGAGAACAACAGAAAACAACTTGTGCATCTGGGGGCAGCATCAGAAATAATGGTGCCTCCTAAGGACTTGCAAATATCCAGGCCTGAGGCATCTCAGCACGACTGAGATGAGAGATTTGTCAGCACAACTGATATTCCCCCACATCAGCACTGAACAGCAGGCAATGGAGCTAAGGTTTGTTTTTTTTATATATATATATTTATATTTATATATATAAAGCGCCTATCACCATATTGATAAACATTCTTTGGAACCACTCTGAGGGCAGACGTAAGAACAGGGGTTAGCCTGTGGGTACCTCAGCACTTCTGTTTCCAAACAATTTAAAAACCAAAAATTTAAAAAAAAAAAAAAAAAGCCACAAGACTTTGCTGCCAGCCTGCCTGGCTGGTGTTTAATACTGCTACTCCATCAGGGTTGGAGGGAGACCTATTGTGAATGGCAACAGTTTGCACTGTGACTTCTCCAGCCGTGCTGCAGAGCAGTGCGGGTGTCACAGGAGGGCAGTGGGACACGGAGGCTCAGACCCGTCACCAGTCAAATGTCTCAGCAGCAGGAGCTCCCACGAGGAGAGCGAGCTCACTGTGCACAGAGCTCTCACCCTCTGTGCTTAAGGCCGAGTCAGGGACCCTTTGGACTCTTCCCAGATCACCAGACAGAAATGTGTGTCAGTTATAAATACATCATGTCAGTTGGGGGTGGAGGTGGGACGGGGGGTGCAGGGATGGGGGGATATAGGGTGGGTGCAGGGAGGAGAGAGAGGATGAAGACACCTTACGTTTCCAGCACTGGAAAGAACAGTTCTGACCTCACGCAATAAGTCACTGGACCTTTTCAATAGTCTTATCTGGCTCATGCCCCATCATCTGTTACACATCAAAGGGAATGTTGGCTGGCAAAGGGTTAAACGATCCCACACAGTGGAGAGCAAATCTGCAGTCTGCTGGGAAGGTCCCAACCACATCACTGACGATCTCAGGGTCCACCTTGAAGGAAGGAAGCAGCTTCTCAGTCTCACACATCGCTCAGCGCCTGCAGAGATACAGAGTGTCAGGAGGGACCTGCCACAGCTCTACCAGTCCTCAGCAGAAACACAAATCACCATCTCTGAAACACAACTGTGGCATTTGCCTTCATCCCTAGGACGCTCTCAGGAGGTTTTTTTCCCGAACCTGCACTTTCAACCCAGTTAGGAGATGATGGAATAATGCAGAAATCCTTCAAAAAGGCAGACTGAACTCTGCTGGAGCATCCTTTCTTTACCCTCTGGTTTCTGCTAGAAACAATTACCACATTTATCTAAGACTTTTGGAGCTTTTCAATGGGAAACACCAGTTCTGCAGGCTCTGGGGCTCGGTTTTGGTTGGTGAAATAGGAGTGATCTGCCATCAAGGCACGGTACGTGAACCCAAGGAGGTTTCAAACTGAACTCCAGCCTTCCCTGACTGACTCATGCTCTGCTCTGTCACACCAAACGCCGTCCTGCTCCGACTTGCCCAGAGCAGCCTTTGAGGCTGCAGGAAATCCTCAGTCCTGCCCAATCCCACTCCCACCAGGTGCTGGACGGAGCCCGGCTCACCTTCCGTGCAAACTCGGGCAGGATGAAGGCTGCCCGGTGGATGTCAGAGTTGTAGTACTTCAGACTCCTCTCCTCCACTTGCTGCTGCGAGAGCCGCTGCACGGGCTCCCGGAAATTCGTGTTCTGCAAGAACAAAGCCAGGTGGCTCTGAGTGCTCGGGTGAGGAGCCAGGGGCTGGGTGACAGGCACCCTGACTTGTGGCAGAGAACCCAGAGGACTCGCAGGAAAACAGATGAGTTTCTGTTCTAGCACGAAGTCAAGGGTTCTGCACAGCTCCAGCCCCAAGGGCTGGGGTTCATGCTCTGTAACTCGTGTGAGCAGCCCTGATGCACAGATGTCAGTGCATGAGGTCAGACTGGGCGAGCCCTGTGCCAGATGAAGCTGTCAGAGTGCCTGAGCATCCAAGAAAGCCAGGCTTTGCTGGTCAGAGCAGAATCCATGCCTGTGTTAAGCTGGGCACAGTGCCTGCTGCCAGCACCCCAGATAAATCACGTACAGCAGCAGCACTGCTGGCCCCAAAAACCCACCCGACAGCTGCATTGCAGCAGACAGAGAGGAGAACTCAGTGGTCTCACAGAGCAACCAGCCCACATCCCAACACCAACTCTCCCTTGGAGGCCTCTGTGCAAGCAGATCACAGGCTGATTCTCATCAAGCACGTGCCCACCTTGTAACAGCCAACATCAATAAGACAAAGCCTTAATGGGCTCTGGGAATTGGTAGCAACTTCCTCCCTCCCAAGGTTGTTGCACTAGACAGAAACCCACGTCCTTTTCTAAGTCAGCCAGTCAGTTCTGCAGTTCATTCTGCAGCTCTAGCACCCTGGGCTGGGTCTGGAGGCCCCAGAGCTGGGAGAGCTCAGTGCCACAGCTCCAGCTCTGGGGGCACAGCCTGAGGCAGACCCTGCAGGCGCTTCCAAGGAGCGGCAAAGGGCACTGGAGGTGCCGCAGACTCACCGGGTTCTTGCTGCAGAGCATGAAGCCAATCTGCCCGCTGGGATACGTGGGGATGGTGCAATAGGCGTATTCCACCACCGGGAACAGAGACTTGCAGAACTGACGCATCTCCTTAATGAGATCCAGGTGCAGCCACTGGCACTCACCTGCAGGGAGAGGGGAAGGCGGGATGCAAGGTGAGAGCTGCCCCTCTTCCCTGTGCCAGGTTAGCAGTGGTTCCAAGTCCCAACCTGCTCTGCTCTGCGCAGCTCATGCGGTTTCAAAGGCAAGACCAGACCCTTAGGCCAGCTTGGCTAAGCTCAGTCCAGCAGTTAACGAGCAGATGGAGACAGACCAAAACCACTGCTGTACCTGGGAGCCAAAATGTCTCCCCCAGAAGAGTCCCCCTCCCTGTGCCTCACCCTTGGCATGCAATGCTCTGGCGTGAGCTGTGCCCAGGGACAGCACCCTCACCTTGGCAGCAGAGAATCCCATCCTCTCGCAGGGCTGTCTTCATCAGCTGGTAGTAAGATTCTTTGAATAAGCTTTCTGCAGGACCTGGGAGAAAAGAGAGTGAAGGAAAGTTTTGACCTGGGGTGAACCTCAGCCTGCACCCAGCACAGCAAAACCATCAGGATTTCAGCTTTGCTCAATTGCAAGCCCAGGACCTTTACCAAAGGAAGTCACAGCAGCTGCCTTTTGCTCCAGGGAGCATTTTTTAAACAGAACTCCTGCTCCAAAACTGCATTTTAGAGATGCCTCTCCTGTGTTGACTTCAACAAGAGTGAAGGGGCTCAAGCAGTCATCGTCAGGTCCCTAAAATGAGGTCCCACATCTACATTTGGTCCCTCTTTGCCTCAGTTTTTCTCTTCAGAAATACAGCAGCCCCATCACAGCCATCTCTAGGGTGGGTGCTACACCAACAGTGTGTGAGCCACTGCTTCGCTGGCAGGCACATGGGCAAAGCTGTCCTTCCAGCATGGAGCTGTATCCATGGGATTGCTGGACTCGGGGATCGACTCTGCCAGAAGCAATAGCTGCTGGAGTTGAATTTTGAGGAGAGAAAGGCGCCAGCTCGCCTGAAGCCTTGCTAATACAATTTTCTGGTTCTCATCCTTCCCTTTCCCTACCAAAAGAAGCAAGTCAGCAACAGTCTTTCACTTGAAAGGAGCCTGGGCAGGCTGGCATAACTTCCAAGAGGTAAGCAGAGAAGGAGGGGGAGTGTGGAAAGCAGCGCCCTTTTATGGCAGAATTCTTACCCATGGGGTCAGACGAGTCTGTGATAATCACATCAAAGGCTTCTTGATTTTGTTTCATGAACTCGAAACCATCTCCCACATGCAGGGTCAGCTTAGCGCTGGAATATCCCACTGCCATCCCTGGGAGGTATTTTTTGGATACCTGGATCACATCCTGCAGCAACACAGAGAGCACAAGTGGGTCAGCAGGGGCTACAAGGAGCTGCTTCTCAGGCTGCCGTGCAGTTGCAGCTGAAAGAACAGCACAGTGAGTCATTTCCTTCCATGCCTTCAGCACAAATCCGACTCAGCCAGCGAGATCCTCAAGAGCTGTCAGCATCTTCAGCCAACAAGCTACACTCAGCCCTTTCCTACGGCCTCAGGGTTCAGTGACACTGTCGGTCTGTCCTTGCCAAACTCAACAAGAAGCTGGAGCTTCAAAAGCTCCCTGAGGAACTGAGTGAACAGGATCACAGATCAGACTGCTCTGAGCCCTTTTTCCCTCTGGACTCCACCTGCAGAGGGGATCTCCCTTTCTTCCCTCCTAAATGAAACCATGCCAGCAGGTTTCTAGATACAAGATGAGAAAGTTCTGCATCTCTGCTCCACAGCTATTAAATCAGTCCCCCAATAAGATACAGTTTTCTCTCTAAAATGGTTACACAGGCACTGCCCTGGGCCCAGCAACTGCACTGAACACTACCAGCTTCTCACAGCTGGCAGAGATGAAAAAAATATGCTGGTGTCAGGCAGTGCTTGTTCAAAACCAGGCACGTTTGCCTACTTAGCTTGGCAGACAGAGCACACATCTCACACAGCAGTGTTTCCCATTCCTAATACAGCCCTGCTCTGAGTAAAACTTCCTAAGAAAGTAAAATATCAGAACAAACTGGCTGAGAAGGGGAGGACTGGCCCATTTATCTGGAAACAAATCCCCCCTTCTTATTTCCTGCTTTCAGTGGCAGGGGGCTGCTCAACACAGCGACCATCCTCCTCGGGCAGGAGCAGCAGCCAGTTCAGCAGCGAGGCAGAGGGAAAAGCAGCACCTCCACAAAGCCAGGGCGCTCCTCCAGATCCCGTGCTTGGCCCACGCCGGCCTGGAAGGGCCTCAACCGCATGTGTGTGAAAGAAATCACATGGAAGAGGCAGCCAGCTGCCACGTAGATGACTTGTAAGGCAAAGAGGTGGCGCTGTCAGTGTCACGCCAGCAGAACCGGCAGCAAAGGCGCCCGGTGCTGACAAGGGGCAGCAGGTGAAGCCGCAGCTCCCGTGGATGCTGTGAGGCCGGGCTGTTTCTGCCGGGCAGCTCGCCCGCCTGCCCGCCCGCAGCCCCGGGGCTCCCGCACGCAGCCGGCAGCCCAACGCACCTCATCGATCTCGCACTGCACCACGGACTCCACGGTGGGGTGTTTGACCACCTCTCGCAGCACTCCCCCGTCGCCGCCGCCGATGATCAGCACCTGGCAGGGGAGGGCAGAGCACCGGCCGTCAGCGGGGCGGCTCGGGGGGATTTGGGGCTGCACGGCCTAACGGGAGCGGTGAGAATCCCCGCGGGCCCGTCCTGCCCGGCATGGGCTGCGGGGCCCACGCGGCTGCGGCCACGCTCGCCCGCAGGGCCCGGGGCGGGTCTGCGAGCCCCGGCCGGGGGCACCCCAAGGAGGGGCCGGGGACGGCTCACCTTGCGGGGGTCGGGGTGGCTGCAGAGGGGCAGGTTGGCGATCATTTCCTGGTAGGAGAACTCGTCCCGCTCCGTGCACTGGATCACCCCGTCCAGGACCAGGACGTTGCCGTAGGTGGTGCTGGGCAGAGCGGGGGGGAAGGGGTGTTGGAGCCGGGCCCGGGGCCGCGCTCCCCCGCGCCCTCCCCGCGCCAAACAGGCCCCACCGCGTGGCGCCGGCCGCCCCCCCCCCCCCCCCCCCCCCCCCCCCCCCCCCCCCCCCCCCCCCCCCCCCCCCCGCCCGCCGCCCTCCCCCCGCACCTGCGGAACACGAGGATCTCCTGGTAGCGGGAGCGCTGGTGGTGCAGCAGCTCCTCCACCTGCAGCGACATGGCCTGGCCGGGCCAGAGCCGGCAGGTCTCTCGGAACCAGCCCTCGCGGATCAGCGCGGCCGCGCCGCGCTCCATCGCGGCCGGGGCGCGGGGCGGAGCCGCTGCGGGGGCAGCGCTGCGGGGACACCGCGCTCGGTCCCGCCGCCACCGCTGCCGCCGCCTGACCCCGCGGGCGCGGGAGCCGCGCGCAGGGCCCCGCGCCGCCCGGCCCCGCCCCGCCCGCCGCCATTGGCCCCGCGCGGCCGTGACGGGCGGGAACGGGGGGCCGGCGCGGGGGAAAGGGCGCGCCCGCCCCGCACACGGCCCCGCCCCGCACACGGCCCCGCCCCGCACACGGCCCCGCCCGCGACACCGCCGGGAGAGCAGGGTCCGGCTGAGGGGATGCAAGGGCTGCGTGGAACGGGGAGGGGCGATGCGGGATTTAACGAGGGTGACTGGGGGGCTGGAGCGTCTCTCAAGAGGAGAGGCTGAGGGAGCTGGGCCTGTTCAGCCTCCAGAGGAGACGCTGAGGAGGGACCCTCGCAGTGTCTGTCAGTGGCTGCAGGGAGGGGGCAGAGCAAGGACCAGGCTCTGCTTGGGACGAGGGGGGCCAGAAATAGCACAAGAGGATAGGGCAGAAACTGGTGCCCAGGAAGTTCCACCTGAACATGAGGAAGAACTTCTTCCCTGTGCAGTGACCCAACACTGAACAGGGAGGGTGTGGAGTCCCCCTCACCGGGGATATTCCTGACCCCTTTGGACACAGTCCTGTGCCATGTGCTCTGGGATGACCCTGCTGGAGCAGGGAGGTGGGACCAGATGACCCACTGTGGTCCCTTCCAGCCTGACCCATCCTGGGATTGTGTGGATGTCACAAAAGCAGATTTGGTTCTGGAAAACCTGAAAAATCCTGAAATTAAGATTACCCTTGAAATGTCATCTCGCATAGAACTTAGAGGACTTTTAAACTAGAGATTTTAATATCCCTGGGGGCAATGTGGTTTTTAGTAAGACTTCTTGTTCTTCAAGTTACAGAAATAACCAGATCTGGTAAAGCTGGGAAGGGAATTGGCAGCCCCTGCAAATGCACTTAGAGACAATTGCTATTTAACTGCCTCTTTACAAAAACATTCTCCAATATTCAGCCATGCAAGCAGACTTTATGAGCAGAAAGAGACTCTGTTCCACCATTACAGTGCTGCTCAGTTGGCACTGTTCACACTAAGATACCTAAGAAGGAAAACCCCTCCTCTGTTCCTTCCACTCCCTACTCCCCCAAAACAGTGGAAGAGATTGAAAAAAAACTCAACCCCAAACCTCCTCACAGTCTTTGTAAAATAAAGCCCTGTTAAAATGTCATGTTCCTTACCTCTGCACAGCAGCAGTATCAGACAGCAGTGGTCAGCACTAGAATAAGCTCAGTCATCCATCCACCAAACACTGATACTGTTTCTGATACTCTCTCTAGTAAGACTTCAGGGTAACTCACTGTGGGTATTTAAAACTTGGAGATGTTAGTTTAGCTGTAAAGATTCAGCTGCAGCACAGAACCCGCTGCCTTTCCCCAACCCAACACTGCAGTCTGGTTTTACCTCCTAGCTAATGCTATTGCTTTCATTCTATAACTTTATGGTAAAACCACTGACCTCTGATCCCAAAAGTATCCTAACTCTTTTTTTTTCCCCTTAGGATCAAGTCTTTGTTTAAAAATACACAAACATTGCCAGGTAAACACTCTCATTTTTCATATTACCTTGTCCTGTAAGAGTTGAGCTGTGCGGTTCAATTTGTAAGTGAGGTCTGACACAAAAGACAGTCTGGCTTCATTTCCTCCTCTGCACTGGTGGGGTTTGAGTCATATCTACTCAATCTATTATTTTTGTGCTGCCTTTGGAGGTGTCAAGAGGTTCCTCTCTTACTCCACTGATATGCTGGTTCTGGACTTCAGGCAACTCCAACAAGTGAAAAGTTCAGCCTAATTGTGTTTGAGGACACAGGACAAACTTTCAAAATTATAAACAAAGCAACATTATGAGTATAATTAGAAAAAAACCAATGTGAATGTAATAAAAGTGGCATCAATTAAAACGTTTTTCCTTTTGGAAAAAAAAAGATTTTAATGGTTTTAAAAATGTTTTCTGTACAAAAACTGCTCAACGACCGGCCTTTGCCTCCTCGTGGTGACAACACTTCTAACTATTGTTTCCTTCAGCAGCAACTCCCACAGGTGCTGTAACAAGGATTATCTCTTTGGCCAGTGGTGTGTCGAACCCCTGCAAAAGAGTTACACAAACACTTTAACTCCTGCTCTAAATTCACTCAAGACCCAAAGCTGACGATGTTACAATGATTCTATCAAGGGTCCTGATGCAGAACCCTTACCTAGTGTTGCTTTTTTATGACTAAGTAACACACAAGGATCAACTCTTGTAAGCTAAACATTAAGTATCCATTCAGAACAAGAATGTTCATGCCTGGCAGTACTGTTATTTGTCTTCCCCCCAAGCCAGGCAGATGTTCTCCCCACCTCCACCTACCTCTGTGGTCAAAGAAAGCAACTCCCACAGCCATTAACGCAAACTTTTTACCTCAGCGTTTCAAACCTTCCACCCAGACTTGTCTTTGATTGCATTAATCCTGACTAAGTTTCTTTTTTTTTTCCTTTAAACTGACGTCAAGCTGTGACGCAACCTCTTCCCATTAAACGTGTGCCTGAGCTCCCCCAGCAGCAGAGCACAATAGCTGTGCTCTGCCCATGGCTCCAGGGCACGGGTGTGCAAACACCCCAGCTGGATCAGGGCGGGCTGACAACTCACCTTTCAGCTTTCCCTGCCAGGTAGGACATGCTCCGGTTTCCAGACTGTTGAAGTTTGTTCGCTCCAGCAAATTTCTGCACAGAGAGGAGACAAAACACCAGCACGGTGAGGTTACTGCCAATTCCAGTGTATGCCACGAGGTTCATGTGCTGCCAGGTCCCTCCAACCACGGCCCACACCATGAGCCTTTGTGTCTTAGGGTTGCACTGAGTGCACCAGAGGAAACGCTGTTCTACTGCTCTGACCTGGACTGTGAGGCACAATACCCCACTGACAACAAACCTTACCCATCTAGGCAGAAAGAGCTGTACAGGTTGTCCCAAATTCACCACGTGGTTTCATTTTTTCTCCCGAAACAAGTTTCAACTGACAGGGCAAAGGGACTGCACAGGAAACTGTTTCCTACTCTATCAGGCATAAACTGGTTCAGCTTCTAAAATATGATTTTTTGGAATGTCTCAGATGCTCCCTGGTAACATTTTCCCTCCAGTTAAAGATGTAGGAAGGCAACATGCACAGGGGAGGCTAAATGCTAGAAATGAGCTTCAGAACTTAAAATTACTGCTCCATCACCCAATGAGTTCACACATGGGCTTCCTATTACTTCATGCCTGAAAGCCCATGGGATGCGACCCATCAGCACCCAAACTCCACATGTGAGCACTATGCAGGTATAGATGGGGGGTTTAGGTACCCAGGTATGCAGGAGTGACAGCACAGGAACTGCCTTAAGTTTGTGTTTGATTGTTCTTATTTTCTTTCTTCTCTTCAATCTCAATTAGCAGTAAGTGAAAAATCTCTAAGCTCAGACTGTTCTGGGGAGAACATGAGCAACTTGAAATGACCTGGAACCACTGGAATGACTGAGATTCTTGGGAGTGCCTTGAATTTGGGAATTTGTAGCGGTGTGCTGTGCTGCAAATGTCATGCCTGTGATGGGTGGAGGTGCAGGTGTGAACAGTGTATGAAGAAGTGGGAAACAACAAAGAGTCTGAGGGGCCCCAAGGAAGCTCCTCCTAAATGGGAAGAATGAACTCGTGGTTGGAAGCTCCACTCAGTACCAAGTGCTGTTAGAGAATGTTCTGCACATCCAGAAAAAGTCATCTGCCCCCCCTGGTTGGGTACATTCTGTCACCCACGTTTCTGTTCCTCTATTCATGACAAGCCCATACCTTGCCTGAGTAAGCTTGCTTGGCAGGATCAAATTGTGGCGACTGCTTCGATTTGCTGCTTCCTAAAGGAGAGAGGAGAAGCTGTCACTAAAATTTTCCATAAAGAACAATGCATTCCACAGAGTTCCTCTGATGATACGGAGGTTTTGTTGCAGTCTCCCACGCAGTACAACCCAGAATAGTCTCCTAAGGACAGGAGATGCTTTTGAATAGGTGCTTCTTACAAAGGAGTCCAATCTCCTTTGCCTCCTCGTTCCCGAGTCCAATTAAACAGATGACTTTCTCTATAGGGAAAAGAAACAAAATCCAAACCCACAACCCACTTGGCCAATAGTTTCAGCATTTGTTTCCAAACCAGAAGGGATGCTGAAGTGTGTACTTGAGCCAACTTCTTTAAGTGTTTCCCCACTGTACATAAGCGCATTGTAACAGTCTGTACTGCCTTGCCACCCACATTCCCACAAACCTTCCCCAGGCTCAGCTGGCAATGTTTTCCACAGCCTGCAGCGCCCTAGCAGGGGATCAGATCTTACCTGCAAACACTTTGAAGTTGGACTTGCTGTAATCAAAGGGGGTAAATTGCTTCGGTGCTTCCAGCTCCTCTGGTTGCTGGGGGGGTTTTGGCCGTTTCTTCTCCTGCGTTGGCAACTCCTCTCCCGTTTCACTCGTGTCTCTTTCCCTCTTCCTATTAGCTTGTTCCTGCTGGGAAAGCAACCCACAGAAGGGAAAGAAGGACAAGTTGAGGAGAGAAGAATGAAACACCTCTGCACAAGCACCAGCAGGCAGATGATCTGCCCAGCAGAGCCAGGTTCCAGGGACAGCTCCTGCCTGTGGCAGTAACAGTGTGGGGAGAAAGCTCCTCCTGGGGCCTAAACTGCTTTGGTTTTTTGCCTCCTCACAATGCAGGGACTTCTGAGATAAAAAGCCAAGCTGTCAATTCACAGGATATCAGAGGCTGAGACCTGCTGTGGCCACACTGGCAGATTTGGGGGAGCCTATGGGGAACGTTAGTGAGGAGCAGAGGTGCAGCAGTGGAAAGAATTCCCTACTGAGCCCATGGGGGGATGTGACAATGTGCACAGCACGGTTAGCAGGGCCTGTTGTTACACCCGGGGCAGCACCACTGCCAAAACACTGTCATTCAGGTGTTCCAGAGTGACAGGGCTCAGGGTTTCATTCACTCTGAACTGCTGTAACAGTCAGGATGGGCAAAGGCTGGAAGGAGGGAATTCCATGACATACCATGGCTTGCTGACGAACAGACACAACGTTCTGTGCTGCGTTTTTGTGCAACTTCTGTGCCTGGGCACGGGCAGCTATGGAGACAAACAAGCATTACTGTCAAAAGCAGCAGTAAGTTAGCCAGGAGCTTGGAAAAAGCAAGCAAAGCAGCAAGTCTCAAACTAAACACAGTATAAACATTACCAAAGTACAGCATTTATCAGGAAATCCATCACCTACAGGAAACAACCTATGTGCACTGGGAAAAGCATGCTGGCACACACCCTGAGGAAGGGAGGAATGGCTGTACCTGACTCCTGGGCTGCTTTCTTACTGATTTCATTCTTGGGCTTCTTCTGTACCGATGCCTGACTCATCAGCTTCCATCGACTGCTGATCTGCAATGAGAAAATGTTACCTGGAACCACTTCCTTTGAAGTTTTAGCGAATTGCTTCCACATGCTGGTCTTCATTCAGAGTACAAAAGATCAAACTGGATGGTAAAAGAGAACAAGATCTGCTGCACCAGGTGAAGTAAAACCAAGTGCTTTAAAAGTTCTCAGCTACAAACAGGCCATGAGAACAAAGGTAGATACTTCAGGAGTTGTATCTTTGACAGACAGGGACTATATAGAGGAATATCTCCAATCCTGGTTCTCCAAAGAATACAAATGCCTCAGAAACACGTCAAGTTTCTCAATAAGTATCCAAGAAGAAAAAGAAAATATTATTTTGCTGAGGTTCCCAATGCAAACCAAACTACTTATTTGTTTCTTTTGTACCACTTTGCAGGAATTTTTAGCACGAGCCTTACCTCATAAATTTTTGATGATGGGTCAAACTTTGCAGACTGTGAGACATAGGCAGAGTTCTCCTCTGGAGGTAGGTACTGCAGAGAGGAAAAAAACCATTTTGCTTTAAACACAGCACATGACATTTATCTCACTGCTAAAACGCTGCTTGTTGTAGATCACTGAGTTCATATTTAAGAAGCATTCTGCACATGGAACACCTTGTGGAAGAACAGAAGTTACAGCAGCTACGCCCAAGACAAATAATTAAGAAAAACCAACTGAAAAAAGCCCCACAAAACCAAAAAAACCCCAACAAACCAACCCTCAACCGCACCCCAGAAAATGTTGATTTGATATTATTTCCTAGTAATTTGCCACTACAAATCTGTAGCAGTACTCTATTGTTCATCTGATTCATTACAGGAGCAAAATCGGCTCATTAACTCCAGCCATAAAGCAGAGATGAAAATGTGATGCAAATTTCAAAAACCTCTAACTTGATTAAAAAAACCAGAGAAAGGTCTGTTTACTATGTAGACTTATATCCAAGAGGCATTTAAATGTGTTTTGAAAACAAGTCCACACGTGCCTTTGCACGAAAGACAACCCCTTGATTCCAGTAAGAGAGCAGCAGCTGATGCTCGATCAAGCTCTTTAAGATACACCTGAAAAACCATCTCAGGGCATTGTCTGCACTGGGTATTTTGTGAGTCCCACTACAAATATGTACTGAGAGCTTTTACCATTTTAAATGGATTTTCGAAGGACTCCATTATTAGCTGAGCTTTCCGCTGGGCAGTGGTTAAAGGCCTCTTATTTCCTTCATCTCCATCACTTTCCTTAAAAGAAGAAAAAAAAAAAAAGAAATATTAACACCAATATTCTCTTGGTTTGGCTACTGCTGTTTCCAGCAGGGCTGTTTGTCACTCTGAACCCCCACTGAGAGCAGTGACCCTCCAGAGACATTTAACTTGCTGACCTTCTAACACAGCTGTCTGGCTTGTGCCACACACCTGACAGGAGTCAGTGCCATTGCCAGGCACGTCCCTCCTTACTGTTCCTTTCAACACTTCCCCACAGTTTTATCGGATTATGAAGTCTATTTTCTACTACTTGAATACTGCCACTCACAAACATGCTGCTTACACTGAATATGCTGACAGTGGCAGTAGCAACAAGACATGCTGGCTCTGGCTGACTGTCTTGAATATTCGTTGTCCTCTCACTGTCTGAGAAGAGACAAGAACCTTCCAAAACTGGTGCAGGCTCTGCATGAAAAGGAGATAAAAATTTTATTAGATACTTGTGTATTTTACTGCTCTTCTGTGTAATGAGATTCCTCTGGAAGTTTTTTCAGGGACATTTATTTCCTCCATGTCAAAGCCCCACCACTGCATTATTAGCACAGCTTTCAGGTTAACTCTAAATTACCCAAGGCAGAGTTGTTCTGGAAATCTTCCATAGGAATCCGTGAACTGTCGTGTGGTCCAAAGAGGGCATTCTCCAGCTTCTGCAGGGAGATTCAAATTACAAACACCATTAATACACTATGAATCCACGGTTTCACACACTGCAGACACTTAGACAGAAATTCAAATGACAGGGTGAGATTCAGAGGTGGAATATTCTTACTGTAGCTCACCAGCCAGAGCACATTGCACCTGGCATCAAAAGGCTCCCTATGCAAACTCCATTAATACTGGTTAATGGAGACACTTTACTTCATACACCAGGAGAAGGAACGAGTCAGCCCCATAAACTCATCTGAAACCTCTCTTCTTACAGCTCAGTCAATATATTTTAACACATATGAAACTGTCCAGCAGCCAGAGTGTTTGCTGATACAGCCCTAAGTGCTGCTTTATAGTGGTTTGTAAAACACCAATTTACAGCTGGTGATGTTATGAGTCTAGCACAGGAAACAAACATTAAGCTAAAGCAGAGACCTGTAAAAGGGATGAGATAAGCAACTTACTAGAGAGTAGAATTCTGCTAAATTAGTTTTCAAGTTTAAGGCTGAAGACATTAGGTAAAAATATCACGTAAATAATACCTCAGGGGTGGGTAGAGATGCTCTCTTCTTGACAGTCGAAGTAATCTCTGACTAGAAAGGGAGAGAAAAGTAAATTACTTAAATGTACCTGCCCTGTTTCTTCTAGGCTGGCCTCCTTATCAACGTTTCCAACACATTTATTACAAGCTAGCAGGTTAATAAAATCACTTTCTTCTCCTGCAGTGTTTGCACTCGGCTATATATTTAAACACCTTGCACGGAAAGAACATGCTCTTGCTCACAAGTGTTTTTGTTTCACTACAGGAGGAAAGCTGTATTAGTATCACCATGCTGATGTTGCATTTGGACTAATGAATCTCTTGCAGCCAGGGCTGTTTTTGCTTGCCTCACCACAGCCGTAAAAGATTTACAAGTCTGTTTACACGGCCACCAAATTCCACAAGGTGCAGTTCCTCCTCATGCAGGCAAACGTGATGTGCAGTGTAGGACAGACAACTGCCCCCTGTTCAAGCAGTGTCTGCTCGTTTGCTGCTCCAGTTCTGCAGGGAACCACACTGCCTGGAAGCCACCAAACAGCAGACAGGCAAGGAGCTGCAGCGGATCTTTCTGCTCTACTGCAGAGCATCACATTCAGCGTCCAAACAGCAAACTTCAGCACACACATCATCTCAGGTCAGCACTCAGCCCCAGTCCCTGGCTGAGGGAAAGCCAGTGATGAGTCTCCTGTGTGGTACCAGCTACTCCTACCTTGACAAGAGGCATCTCCCGGGCCTGCTGAATGAGCAGATGCAATTCATTAATCTGCTGGCGAACGAGGGGTGGGACGGGATTACAGCAGGCAATGATGCCCTGGGGTTCTCTAAAGAGAGAGGAGGAAAACTCAGTGTGCTGTATTTACGGCCAATATGTCAGGTATTTGCATTCCAAGGATGTGCAATGGGATATAACCACGGTCCTGATGGTGACAGAGCAAGACAAGTCAGATTTATCTGTCAAAGTTTATTCTCTGTGATAAAATTCTTCTGTATCAGTTTGTGCAGACAAGGAGAAGCCATTAAGTCAGCTCTCCTCTCATTTAACTTTTCTGTGGCCTGACTCTCCTCACCATCATTTCATTCAGTATTCACCTATGAAAGCTGAGCCCAGCAGTGGGTCTGCCTTTAGAGATGCATTTTTATTAGTCTAAAGTATGGCTGTTAGATGATGAGTGCCAAGTGGCTGAGGAAAATGTTGTGTAAATTGGGTATTTTAAGGGATCTGCCCCTTGCTCTTCCAACCCTCTAGGAAATGCAAAAAACCCCCAAATAAATGCTATGAGGGAACTCATCCCTCTCATGCTCTGTAATAGTATGGGAATCTCAGGGGGAATTTGTGACACAGAGCAATGCAAAGAAATGTGGTTTATTAGTGGAATAAAATCAGAGATGTATCCCAGAAGTCTGGAGCCTTCCAAAGGAGTATTGCTATTTATTCCTCTTCCAAACCAAACAACTATAGAGAAAAGCAGTACTGACATCTGGAAGGAAGGGACCAACTGAAGAAGTCATTACACATTAGGAAGCAACTTGCTGGATATTAAAATCAAGTAAGACTCCTTCAGGGTGAACAGAACTTACTTGGGCAGCTCCTCTGAGATCTTCAGCAGCATATGATTTGGGAGCACATACCTACAACACAAAGAGGCGGTGTGAACGTAACAGAATGTTAAAAACACTCAAAAATACCTCCAGAGTGCACAACTCTGCCCCAATTACAAGGTCTGAGAAGATGAAATGAGTTAAAAAGAAAAGAAATTAAGTAGGACTGATCTAGATATCTGTAAGAATTTAACAGGCTGCTAATGTAACAGGACTTCTGAGTAACAAGCAGCCTGAGGCAGTACAGCGATTTCTATGAAGTGGTTCCACCTCAGGGGTGGAAGGGGCACAATCCAAGAGATTTACTGAAGTATTAAGTCAGTGTCCATAACAACAGACTTCCTACCCCGTGCTCTCGTCCTCCTGACGTGCTATCTTGTCCCTCCATGCAAACAGCAACCTAAAAGCTGCCAGCTGCTGGGTGTCTAGGTGTTTCTTCTGCCTCCTGTAGAGCTCAAGGTAGGATTCATCAGTGAAGAGGGGCTTGATGTATTTCTGAACAGGAAAAAGAGAAACACTCATGGTAAGTATTGGATTTGGGCTTTCCAGTTTGCCTTGCTCCACTGAGACAGAGAATCTCATGTGGGTATCAGGGGACTGAATGAACTCTGGTATAATGTGCCTTGAGCTTTTATCCTAAATGATTGCTACAAGCCTATTCCTGAAAAACATATATCTCATCCATTTTTAGGGGAAAATCACCCTCATGAACTCCAGGAGGAGCTTCAGTATCTTTAAGCTTCACTATATTACAAAAGGCCTATTTTCACAGACAGTATTTTCCAGGCACAATGTAATTGTCTCATAAGGCAAATCCAGCGAGGCTTTGAACTTCTAGGAACACCCAGCAGAAGTGGAAATGTAACATCTATCTTGGAAAAGACACACCTGAATGCATCGTGAGGCCAAGGAGTACTAACACTCAAAAAACAGCAGGAAGGCACCTGAATCCAAGGCTTTTAGCTAGTGAAACAAGTGACTGGGTACGACTGAGAAGAGTTTATACAGCTGATTTCAGACACACAAAGAGGAAAAACAACCTGTGTTTATGTAACAGAGCAGAGTAGGCAAAGGACTTTCTGTCCTAAGCCCATGCTCTGATGCAGGTAATCCAGCCAGGTGAAGCTTTACCTTCAGGCAGATGTTCCTGCTGCGCTGCCACACAACCTGCAGCTGCGTGGGCTGCTCGTTCCCTCTCTCCCACAGCGACTCCCTCATTTTATCATAGATGTAGAGCAGGTAGTGAGTGTCATCCCGGGCATACTGCATCATTTCTTCTGGCAAAGGGCTAGAAAAAGAGCCACAATTGCATCAACACGTTTCAGCTGTCCCACCAAAGTGTCACTTTCCTCTTGCAAGGCATATTAGTGCAAAGTGGACACGAGACATGCCAAGAACTAACACGGAAATTCTTCTGTTTCCTTGCTGAGGGATGTGTTGGGCCACAGCAATAACGTGCTGTGCCCTCTCCAAGTCATCTTGTTCACAGTCCTGCCAGAGAGCAGGAGTGCCCTGCAGCCCAGTCAGATGGCAGAAGTGCTTGCTGTGGCATTTGAAATAACTCTGCTCTCTCTGCAGAGCCTCCATAAAGTAGATTTTAGGATCTCTGTGGTGTGCAGGGTGCACCTGCACAGCCCAAGCTCCCTGCTCCAACAGCACCTTGTACAGGTGACAGCGTTTTTGTGGGGGCTCTGGGGGAAGCAAATACAGACTTGTCTCCATCACACTGCAGCAGTTAAGCACTGGTCCTAAGAAGTGAGCTCTCAGAAGATTTTCTTCCCAAAATAACTCATTTTCCAAAAATCATGGGAAAATGTTAATACCCAGAAACTTAAGGCACAGCCAAGGTAAATGCTGTGCTCACTCACTTTGAGACTAACCTATAACTACGGGTCTTGCAACTAGAAGCTCTAGCAATGCAAACAAGGAGAAAGAGCTACCTGGCAGCTCCAGCCCATTTAGGGGTCAGTTTTTACCGTATCCTCCAGTCAGCCAGCTGGTACTTCTTGTCAGCATCTACACTGCAATACAGCTTTAGCAGGTGTTCCAAAGAATGCCTGCCAAGATTGAGGAGGCGAGCAGCTTGGTGAGTGTCAAACACATTCACCAAGTACAGACCAAAGTCTCTTTGCAGCCATTCCACGTCTGAATCAGCACCGTGAAGGACCTTGAAAAGAAAAGCAAGTTGGGAGTGATACAAAGCACATTTCTGCGCCAGGCTGGTGGTGCTGTGTTTTCACACTCATGTGTCTAGGACCAGATTTCTTTTCTCTGTCCTTTACTGTTAAATATAGAACTACTAAATGAGTGCAACTGGCAAGCAATTCACCGCTTACACCAAGGAAAGAGGTCCATGAACAAATTACAGCGAGCGCAGAGCCCAGTGACCAGGACAGCACACAGTGTGATTTTAAGTATAATAAAGCTTAAACTGAACCCATAACAATAATAAAAAAAAGAATTGTGGTGAGTTTGGCAGCTGACCTTCACAATGGCAGGGTCTGTGAAGGTCTCATTGAGGATGTTCAGGTCACTGCGCAGCTCCAGGGCATCGATAATGAAATCTTCTGTTCGGGTGGAAATCTGCATCAGGCATGTCAAGCCCAGGAAGCTCCTGTAGGAATGGTGCTGAAAACGGGGACGAGAGGTGTAAACTAGGATTCGTTACAGAAGTAATGCTATAAAACAAACAGCAACCCCAAATGAAGGAAAAGGACTGCTTTAAGAAAAAAGACAATTGCATAACCAAACGTTCTCTTTGCAGTCATTAAGATGACATAAAAAAACCATGGGATGGATTGAAAGAAGATCAAATTCAGCTAGAACTGGGCAGCCAGTCCTACCATTGGAAAACTTGTAATATTGACACAGTTTAATTCAGCTTTATAGATTATGTCTGATAGATCAGGGTCATGAACTGTTTTTTCATGTCAGAAACTACAAAAAAAAAAAAAAAAAAAAAAAAAAAAAAAAAAAAAAAAAAAAAAAAAAAAAAAAGAGAAAACCACAAAACAGACTAGAAGAATATAATGGTCTCTTAGGTCCTCAAAGTACATGTGTAACTTTTAAGCAGAAAAGGCAATTTGATTACCTCTAAGTCCAGAGCAAATTCTTTACAGTTCATAAGCTTTTCATTTAGTTCTACCAGCTCATCCAGTGTGGTGATAAAATGACAGGGTGTTTCCTCCATGGGCCTGTACATCTGGCAGAGCACATGGATTAGGCATGGTATGTTCTCTGTTAACTCCCACCCCGACCTCCACCCTCAGATCTGAAATTTGTCAAGTATGGCTGTGAATGCACTGCATCTGCAGCTGAAAATTAACGTGGGCACCAACCTGGAGTTCTGGTTTCTTGAGAACTCCATCTGGTGGAGAGAAATGCTCCAGTTCATACTGGTAAGGGTGGGCAAACCTGTGGAAATCAGGAAGATAAGCACAGGCTAACTCCCAGCCACCTTTCTGAGGCCAGAGCACAGAGACTTTGACACCTATGGCAGTTTCCCTATCCAGCAGAAACGCTGCCTCTTATTAAGCACAGGTTTAACGTGACTGCAGAGGCCTAAAGCAAATCACACACAAGGTAGTGTGGGCACAAACACATGCAGAGCTGCCACACGTGACGAGCACCAGCGCAGTGGGAGCACACGGGTGCAGGCCCACCCGTGGGGCTCCCAGCACCTCGCTGCCAGGTTCATTTCTTACATGTCTTGCTCAGTTTGCTGCGTCCTCTGCTGATGGATGAAGTCTGCCAAGGCAGCTGGCACATCCAAGTCCTCGGGGCGCTCCTTTCGCTGCCGTCCACTTTTTGTGAGGGCTGAACAACCAATATGGAATAACTGGACTGGGTCCCCCACATCACACTTTCTCAGCCTGCTACTCTCTCCCCTCCGCCCACCACAACATCCTATTACAACCACGAAGTATCAGAAACCTTAACAATTTAAATTCACCTTGAATGACAACTCAGTTACCAGGCTGCTGTTAAGCAAGACAACAAAGCGGTTCTGCTCAAAAGCTCTGAAGGAGATTGAAAAATCTTCAGTTACTAAAAGCACAATGGCATCAGTGGAGATTATGGATGAACCATCAGCAGCAGAATGGTACCAGAACAGGGTGTTACACAGTGGCTCTGGTAAATCACCCAAAGCTAAGGTAGGTCTCCCTACACACTTCACTCATCTGAAAGAACATCTGTGAAGCCAACAAGACTGGTCAAGACTTCTGAGGCAAAAGCGACTCTCATGTATGTTCAATGGTGGTAAAGACCTACTTGTTTTTAGAGTCAATGATTTCTCCTCTAAACTGTGAGGACAGGTTTGTGTCACATACTCTCAACAGGTCACCCAAGCAAAATAAACTCCTTACCTTCAGGCAGAGGTTTCAAAGCATTTGGCTTGATAAAAAGTTTAGGGACAAAGGGAGTGTTGGAGTTGTCAATCTTTTCCCGAAACTTAAGCTGTGGTCGAGTGATGTTCTTGGCGTGAAGCAGCCGGAAAGTTTCAGACTGAGTTCTCTTGTGGAATTCTCCTGCCTTTTTAAAAAACCACAGGTAAAACTCATATGACTTAACAGACACTCAGCATTTTTCCTACTCAGCCTGACCCAACATTCAGAGAAATAAAGTTATACCCCACACTCAAAACTGAGTTACTTTTTCTCAGCAAGTCCAGAGTTCTCTGAATCAGGATCCTGAATCCATAGGAATAAACACAAGAAAGGCTGTTGTGTACACGACACTGAAATGGCAATTGAAAGCACAGAGAATCCAGAATCAAGTCTGAATGAACAGGAAAAGGGAAAAAAAGAGGGAGGGACTTAGAATGTGTGAAAAAACATGAGAGAATATTTAACTACTACACTCCACTGGAGAATCAGCAGTGCCAAGGCTGGGAGAACAGCTGAGCTAACACAGCAAACTGAGCAGAGGGGCCTCACCTTACGGTTCCAGCTGGAAACGATCATCTGTGGGGGCTGTAACCCAGCTGGCAGCACTGGCTGCTGGTTTCTGTTCACTCCAGATGCTTCATCCAATAAAATACTCTAAAACCCAGAAAAGCAATGTGAAACACCAGTTAAATTACCACATTCAACCACTTAACTCACTGAGCAAAGACATTCACACAGGTAGGTACCTCCACAGCCATTTCCCCCAAATTTTGTGTAACACAAGACAGACAAATGTGGGAGGAGCATGCTGGACATCAAGGGTGGGAAGAGTTTCCTCACAGAAGCAGCTCTAAAATGTACAGACCTGTTCTCAGGTTGTGAGGGTTTCATGCCAAACTGTATTTAGTTTCCTCACAAGTCACACATTGCAGTCCCCCCCTCTGGCCCATAACCCACCTGCCCCAGCTGCTGGGAGCTCTGGCCCAGCACATGGAGGGGGCTTTAAAATGAAGGAAAACACCAGACTGAGGAAACACCAACTGCAACTGTGAAAGCACCACCACTGAAATTCTTGCAATGAAAAAAGAAGTTATGGGAACCGAACAGTTTATAAGAACCACATGCAGAAATGATTTGCTTACCACTCTTTCAAGAATGACATCGTTGGAGTCAACCAGCAGATCAAATTTGTCTTCCAGCCCTGTCACTTTGCTGGAATCTTTCAGGAGGCTCCGGCAGCCGTGGTACTGCATCACCTGGCTCATGCTTGCAAGAGAACAGCACAACTGTCAGCAATCTGTGAGCAGGCAATCCCAACCCTAGAAAATCCAGCTTTCTTCAACTTCCTACACTTGAAAGCTTGATAATAAATCAAATGGTAGACACCATCGCGTGAGCAGTGAATAGGAGAAGCACCTATACAGTATGAAGTGCCACAATTAATTTCTCACAAACCACATGACGACTTTTTAAAAAGGACAGACTCGTGTGTTTGGTGTCAGCTGCTCCTTCTTGCCCCAGCTCTCCATGAGCTTTTAGAAAAGCAGCTAAAATCAGGTGTGAAATAAACCACTGTTTAACCTACAGCCAAGCATGGAGGTCCCAGAGGAGGGGGCTGCCTGCTGTGGGGTGGGGAGGGGCATCAGGCCCTTACCAGCGGAGCAGGCGGTCTCCCTGCGTGTCGCAGTAGGCGCGGAAGCCGGGGAAGCTGCGGTAGAAATCGTACTCGTCGCCAGGCTGGGGGAGCCCGTTGGACGCCTTTGTTGCAGCCACCACCGTGCCCAGGGCGTACTGTGCAAGAACACCACGTTATCAGCACTTTGTTCCCGTCTGCCCAGCACACCCCGTGAGAGAAGTGCATTCTGCCTGGCTGGTTTGAGCTGTGTGGTTCTGTTGGGTGGTATTGCGGGGCTTTTCACCAAGAGTAAGTTCACGTGGTCTGTTTAGAAAACTTAAAATGATTAAAGTCTATGAACAGGATCTGTAACTCAGTCTAGTATTACAGATCTGGCCTGAAGTTGTGTCAGGGCAGGGTCAGGTTGGATCTCAGGAAAAGGTTCTTTCCCCAGAGGGTGGCTGGCACTGAACAGGCTCCCCAGGGCAGTGGGTTAGGGCACAGCACCAAGGCTGACAGAGCTCCAGGAGGGTTTGAACAACTCTGTGAGGGACAGGGTGGGATTGTTGGGGTGTCTGTGGAGGGCCAGGAGTCGGACTGGATGATCCTTGTGGGTTCCTTCCAGCTCAGGATATTCTGTGATTCTAAATCAGCAGGAACGTCGATAATGACTTTATTATTTTAACAAAAAACCCCTAAACGCTGCAACGCTTCCTTCTAGGGAACTGGTGGCCGTCCCCTCTCTGGAAGCAGCACACGTGAAACACACCAGCACTGACGCTGCCATCTGGAACGCCAGGGGAAGCAATGCCCGTGGCCACAGGCCCTCCCGAGGGTCCCCAGGAACTCCGGGTGGGTGACAGGACCAGGGCCCTGTAACAGGGCGGTAACAGGCCCCGACACATCGCTCGGCCCCTGCACCCGCCGGCCCGGCCCGCAGCCCCCCTCTCCCGCGCAGGGGGACTCCCCGCAGGTGTCCCCGCTCGGGTGGGGGTCCCCCCGCAGCCCCTGCGGGGCCGGACTACAGCTCCCGGCATGGCCCGAGCGCACGCGCACGCCCCGCTCCCCTCCCCCCCCGGGCTCTCCCAGCGCACCTTGACGAAGGCGTCGGGGCTGTCGAAGCCGGGCAGGGCCGGCATGGCGCTGGCTGCCCCGCTGTCCGCGGCCGTCCCGGCGCCGCCAGCCGGCCCCGCCGGGCTCCCCTCACGCACGGCGGCCGCCATGCTGATGCGCGAAGCTGTCGCGAGATCCGGGCGCTCTCGCGAGAGCGCGGCTTCGGGAAGGGGCGGGGGGAGAGCGGCGGGGAGGGGCCGGTGGCGCCCCCCAGCGGCGGGAGGGGACACGGAGGGGGGGGGACACGGAGAGGGGGACACGGACGGGGGGGACAGGGAGAGGCGCCCCCAGGGCTACAATGGGGGAGTCACCACCCCTGCCTCCCCTCCAAAGCACTACCAGGGGCCCACAGAATCACAGGTTACTGAGTTGGGAGGGATTGATTCCAACTCTTGGCCCCACACAGACACCCCAGTAATCCCACCCTGCCCCTCAAAAGTGTTGTCCAAATGCTCCTGGAGCTCTGGCAGCCTTGGGGCTGTACCAAATTTAGGGGTCTTACGGTCAAGTTTCTGGTACACAGGTGACAGATTTCATTTCAGTCTTGGTAATTTTGCCTCCAGATGCCATCAGAAGTGAAATAAAGCCTGAACCGATGCACAAAAAGACAAGTCAATGGCAATAGGAACCTTAAAAGAAAAAAAAAAAGAATCTTAATCTGCTTCCCTGTCTCTGCCTAAGAAATACTTAAGAATAAAGAGGAACACAGCCAACCAAGGTCTTTACATTTCGGTGTAATTTATTGGCACAAAAATATTCAAATACAACATGGCATCTAAACGTGGCTACTCTGTTGTATTTTGTGCATTGTTTTTAATATGTTTAATTCATAAATCATACCTTTATCTTCACCCTCACATTTAATAACCATTATTTTCTGTTTCAAGTTATGACCAGTTCTCCCCCTCCCCCTTCTGCCTCCTATGCCAAGCCCTAACTTTCCCTAGTTATTTCCCAACACTGCTTTTTAACCCAGACACTGCAGGAAGCTCCCAAGTGGTATTTCTTTGTACCCTGCACTCAGTTTGCCACGGCTCACTCTGCACAGAGGCACCGACTTCGCCCAGCTCAAGGTCTTCAAACCTTGACACCCTGCTCTAATCTGAAACACGACTCCTGCACGAATGTGATGAGCAGATCGACAACTTCCAATTTTGGGGCAAGAATCAAGTTTGGAAACAAGGTACAGGATGAAACAATGATAAAATTCTGGTTCTCCTTCCAGTTATCCGGCTCACCCCCAAACGTAAATGAAACCTCCTGCACAAGCGCATTGAGCTCATTGCAGCCACATCAACAGGAATGACCAGGGCAATAATTCATCTGCAAGTGACTTAGTTACATTGCAAAGTAAGACAAAACCCGTATATAGTTATTTTCAATGGATCACCAGTTCCCCAAAGACCAAGTGGAACCATAGACACCTGTGGTACAATCAGTCTTCACTGTCCTGGAAACCCAAATCAAGTGTTGTGTTTCAGACAGCTTGTTTGTTTTTTTTTTGTTTTGTTTTGTTTTTTTCCAACAGCAGCTATACATTGGCTTAAACCAACTTTTAATATACAATAACTCTTTTTCATTTACATTTAAAAATATTTGACAAAGGCTGTATTTCAGTCCAAGGTTCAGTTTGTGTTTGTAGAAGAGCAAGTTTGGAGCGCAAAAGCCTCCAGAATAAAAGGCTGTGGATACTTTGGAATCCTCCGTTACCAGAAAGGACACCTAAAGAAAATAAAGATATTGTAATAATACTGACTTGCATGGAGTTTCACAAAGGCAACACTGAGAAGGACTGAGATTCTATACTAACTAGGCACTAATTCAGCTTAGGGAAAGTTGCCAGGTGATCCCCCCCCCCAATGCTTCTTTCCTGATGAAGTTTAAAAACAACAGAGATCTATTTTTTCCACCATAGTTCAAAGTTAGCTAACCCTCAACATGACAGTAAAAATAAGCAGTATAAATAACACTTGACTTCTTCACTGTAACTGAAAACAGCGATCAGCACATTTCTTATTTCAAACACTTAAAATTATCTAAAATCCCTGTTACTACTTATAAAAGAGCTTTCCTAGAGGACTGTCTGTGGTATCGCTGTCAGGACTGCAAAATCTACCAGAGCAGATGCAGGATGTGCTAAGGCTCCTACAGATAACTAACCACACAATTAGATCATTCCAGAAGAGTTTTGCCAGCTCAGCTGAGTGACAAACTCACCATCCAATGTAGCACTGGCACAGGTTCTCGTGAGAAGTCGCTTGTTTAATGAGCAATTCCACTTGTGTGGGGACATCCAGAGTTTCGTCATGAGAGAAGTCCCGACCTGCGAAATTAAAGGGTGAAAAAAACACATCAGTGTAATCACAAATCCTGGTTCTAATCCCTTCAGATAGATTATATGGCAGGTGAGGGGTAGTTTCTTATTAAGTATAAGAATGTAAAATTTTGCAACTAAATGCAGCAAAATCTAAAGCCAGGACAGTGGAAATTCAACTTCCACTAAACGCTAAGACATGCAAGTCTGTGCAGTTACAAACTAATCTCTACTTTTCAAATCAGGCTCATTTCAATCTCAATGCAGGCACCAGTCCTTGGGTGTTAGACAAGAACAGGAAAATGGCCTCATCCATCTAATCAGAATATGTTAAATTCAAGGATTAACACAAAATATAAACACTAAGGGTAGTGCTGATCCCTCTCATCAGGTTTTATGTTTATTTTATATAACATAAAAACATGCTCACCAGTGAGCTTATCTCGAACCCTGTTGATGATCTGAATAGCCTTCTTATTTAGAGCTTCTGGTTTCACCAGACCATCTCCTACTGAAAGACAGAAACAGGAAAGGGAATCAGGACTTCACCTGAGCAATAAAAGCATTTGTACTACTGTTAGATGTGCCCTGCCCAAATGCCACTTTGACAGCAAACCTAGATACATTTTCTATCACCTTTTTGTTGGGAGTTGAGAACCCAGGTAATTATAATCCTCATTTATGCTGACAAGGAACTGCATCTGCCCCAACTCACGTAATGGCATTTGGATCGTGATGAAATTTTCTGTCTCATAACAATTTATGAAACAATGAAACTTACTGAAGGAATGGATGGATTCAGGCACTGTGGTCCCAGTTTTTTTATGGGATGTCTCACCCAGTTCCACGCTGTCCAACATTTCTACGGAAAAAAAACCACAAAAACATAAACGCGACGTTGAAAAGCAGCTAAAATGCTCCTCCAGAAACATTAACAAAACTGTTAATCAGCTCATTTAAAAGCATAATTGTGACATCCACCATCTTTCCTACTCACCCACTGACTGACTGGCTGAGTAGGAGTCTGTCCTTGTTCGTGAGCGCTTATTGCCCTTTGTGTTTGCTGCAAGAAAATAAGGAGTTGGAAGGCATGAATTGGAGTTTCAGTGTTTCAGAGCAAATCTGTCAACACACAATACAGATTTGGCTGCCTTTCTCCTTCTCCAGATCTGATGCCACATGAAAATAATTTCAATTTCCCGATCTCTGTTGCAATTTCATATTAAAATCCTTAAAGCTGCACCGAGAAACAACACATGGAAATGAACCATTTCATCAGAATTTTTTTCAGACAGACATTGAATTTCAAGCTTCTGGATTTCTTGTATGAATCAGATGGATCCCTCTCTCGCAGCCAGTGTTTTCTCAGAGCCACTTACTGTCCATCAGCCTCCAGTTCAATAAGGGATCATACACAAAGGCTTCCAGCACGGCCATGACACTGTCCTTGTGTTCCCGCAGCACTTCCATCACCGTGTGACACGTGATCCTGTAGTTGCCATCGAGGCCTGTCACCTTGGGAAGAGAAAGAAGTGAATCCCCCACTGCTTCGTTCACTGTGCAACTCCAACCCCCACATTCAGGGAGCAGGAAGTGGCTTTGAGCTGGAATTCACTGTGCTTACAGAAAATGCAGCTGAAATATCAACACCTCTGGTTCTTAAGGTGAGGAGAAGTTTAGCCCCAACAGAAAATAGAGGGAAAACTGAGATTTGGGTGCCATTTTCCCCAGGAACAATCCCCTCCATGTTAAAGGGGAGATGCTTACCTCCATAGCATTTGTCAGCATCCTTGTTAACCTAAATGGAATCTTCTCAGGGAACTTTTCTCTTGTCATTGCAACCTAAACAGATGATGATGGAGAATCAGTCAATTAATAGCTAATTCAGTCTTTAAAAGTTATTAAGCATAGGGATCTTTCTGGCAAAATCTTGAAGATTTTATTCCAAATAGGAAAAAAAGTCACAGCTTTATGTTCCTCGGTTTCCACAAATTTCTGGGAGAAGCTAGATAAGTAACTTGATAGGGAAAACTCAGCACATGCCCAGCTGCTCCTGTCAGGTAACACAGACTGCCTGTCAGCAGCTTAAATTGCTCCAAGAAATTTCATGGAAGTAGATGCCAGCACTTCTTTGCCTGTTCCAGTGGTCAGCTGGTCCCCAAGACCCTCCTCTGACATAAAATACTGATTATTTTCATCTTGCCTGTAGGTAAAGCAAAGCTCAAAAGAGCCAAAGGGCTTGCCCAGGATCAGACTCCAAGGTCAGTTTGTCCTGGCTTATAGATTAATTTCTGTTCTATCAGAAAATGTGAAATGTTATAGAAAATTTAATGTCCAGCTACAAAGATTTACCTCAAAGCAGTCCCCGAAGTCGATATGCAGGATCTTTCCACTCAGTCTGTCTAACATCAGATTGGAGGGGTGTCTTTGATGAAGGAGTGGGAGAGAAAAACAGGGTGACAGACCATTCTAAAAACCCAAAGTAAATCACAGCAGTTCCAGACTGAAATTATATTTATCTTGATGAGCAAGAACAGCCAGTGACAGCTTTCTTGTCTGAGATCTTCAATCTCAGGATGAACAGAAAAGCTTCCTGACAGTGCATCTATCACATTATTTTTGTAATTACCTCTCAGGAGTTACAGATCTTCTCACCTTGGAAGATAAACAATCTCTTGGACCAAAACAATCAGTACACTTCTTGGACAGGAACATTTATTTTTCAGTTAGGATAAATTTCTCCACTTGTTTTATACTTTTTCACTTTTTTCAGTACAGAAAAACGAAATGCACTAT